AATAGCACCTGGCAAATGGAAGGTAATCAGGAGAAGGACAAAACTGTTTTTTGGGGGATAATGAACCGTGTGGAAGCATCATTTGTCTTCTTTTGATGGGCAGACTTCCCTCAACATAGTAGACAAATTAAAATATTTGAAGAAAGATTTCCATTGGGATTGTGTTTGGTTTACTTAGTTATAATGTTTTAAGGTAAGAGACGCCCCTTTAAGCTATTATATATATATATATATATATATATATATATATAATATATATATATATATATATATATATAATATATATATATATATATAAAATATATATATAATATTGTAACCACGAGCGAGTGGTATTGATCAATAACAACACTGCGCTAGCCAAGGATTCGAACCCATGTTGTACTGGCCTGCCTCATGGTAAGCGAGAACCACATGACGCTTTAAACCACAGGACCACCCAACCCTATAAGAATGGCGCAGCCAGCACAGAGCTAGCTGTTGGGCCGCCATCCGAGGGCATACGGAGGTGTGGGAGCTTCTAAGCTAATTTCAAACAGGGATGAGAATGAAATTAGCTTAGAAGCTTCCACACCTCCGTATGCCCTCGGATGGTGGCCCAACAGCTAGCTCTGTACTGGTTGCGCCATTCTTGTAGGGTTGGGTGGTCCTGTGGTTTAAAGCGTCATGTGGTTCTCGCTTACCATGAGGCAGGCCAGTACAACATGGGCTCATCAACCTCTCTGTCGTCCAACTAATGCTTTTCTATGCTTTATATGCTGCTGGAATTCTTGTTTTGATTTGATTTTTCAGCTATTTAATTATATATAAGTGAATGGTGTAATAGTCTTCATTAACAGACATGGCAGAGTTTCATTGTATTAAAAAGACTGATTTTTTCCCATTTAATTAGTATTTATTCATGATCAATAAAGGTTGTGGCACTTATTTTTATAACATTGAATATATATAGATGTTTCAGTGTTCCTTAAAATTTTATGGTTTGTCCTTTGTCTTTACCTTATACTGATTGTTGTTAGAATGTAAAATAAACTGATATTTATTTATGCTGCAGGCCTGGGCTAACCAGTGTCAGTTTGAACATGACGGTGATGACCAGCGCAGAATCTGTTCTCGTGACTACGACGTGGGCCAAAACTTGTTTTATGAATGGAGCCATTATCCGTACCCGGTAAGTAACATCACATTATTTCTTACAGGTAAGAGATGATCTTCAGCACCGACGACCATGTAAACAAGACACCTACGCGGCACTGATACTTGGTCATGAAATGTTTCGCTCCAGGAAGCTCTGTGAACCCACTGCAGCTTTATCAGCAGTTGTATTGATAGCTTCCCTGAGCGAAACGTCTCGATAAATATCCAGGCTTTGCACACGTGTCATGTTTAAATAACCTCCTAAAGTTTACCATACAACCTCGAGTATGCGATTCAGTTATTTGATTTACGAACTATGTAAAGAGCGAAGAAATTGTATATTATCTATTGTAGGACATATAATGTTTTACCTGGTGAACCATAAATTAACCCATATTTTATAATAGTTACCAACCAATAACTGATTGAGATAAACCCAAGGCGTAAGTCATGCGAAATGACTTCCTACCCGTAAAACTTTAAAGTACATCTTTAAAAGGTTTAGATGTTTAAGAACTTTGTTTTTTGCAACGTTCTACGCAACTCCTTGACTGGTGATGTTGATGATGGACTAGACACTAACCTCAAGTAACATTAACTTCTACATCATCGCATACGAGGCACCCAGAGATTGCCTCGTGGCGCTGTGGTTATTGATTCCTTCAGATACACAAGACAAGCAGTGGTAACTTCACTGGATCATCTGCTTCTGTGGCCCTGAGACTAACATGGGTAAGCCAAGAGGAGCTGTATTGTGACCAACGATAGTGACACGATAATGATTTATTCTCAACTGAGTAATCACCATCTTCAGAGTACATGCAAAGTGCACTGTATAGATAATTCCTCTCCTGCCGATGACCTCTTAAGACGTAGTGTAATCACTTTTACTATATTGGTTCACTGATGACTATTATCACTGCTGGTCACTTGCTGGAGTCGTCATCTCAGTGTTTCTTTTGCTTCTGCCGAGATTTTAAATGTCTTTACATTTATCATGTTTAGATTGTATGTTTTTGGATGTCTGTAAAAACCGAACTTAGCCATTCAGAACTTTCTGACTTATATGCAGCAGTTTGGTCTAAATTCCCGTAAAGTTTTCAATGTTGCAGAGATTTTAAGGGTGGAATGTTCCTTTATAAAGACAGTTCTCCAGTTGTAGTGCATAAAATAACAGAATACAATAATTTGTGTTGGTTCCAGGACATAGCAATATATGCAATTTACTTTTAAGTCTGTTCTGTATCTATTGGTGTGAGCAAATAGCTCAGTGTTAGCCTCACTCTGGCAATTGCTCTTTCTATTATTTCAGTTTTATGCCTTTTATGTTTCTACGCTTCCCGGTTTCAATTTTTAATTCCAGAGTGTTGATGAACGCGACAATTTTTATTTTACAATGAAATTGTCCGTGAAAATTGCTTAAATTGTTTTCAGAGTGCCTTGACATGATATGTGTGGAATTGAAAGTTATGTAGTAAATGTTGTACTACACATTGTTGTAGTTACTTTCATTGTGTAGTATTATGCGATGTATGGGTATTGCTTAAATTTTATACTCGTTCCTGGTTACAATAATATATATTTACTGCTTCTGGAGGCTAGTGGCTACTACACCAAATGGGGAGTAGAATGAAATTATATATATATATATATATATATATATATATATATATATTATATATATATATATATATATATATATATATATATATATATATATATATATATATATATATATATATATATATATATATATATATATATATATATATATATATATATATATATATATATATATATATATATATATATATATAGAAAAACAACATAGGTAACTCAGAGCTGCATCTCGAATACTTCGTCCAGCTCTCCTGCGGTGGGCCGCGTGCCCAGAATGCTGCAGGCATTTCCTCTCTGGATCGCAACACAGAGTCTATGAAAGAGGAAGCTGGACGCCCTGTGGTCCTTGGTTTCTATGATGAGCTTTTTACCCAGCTCTTTCAGGAACTTTAGAGCACACTTGCCCCCATGCTCCAAGGGTCTCCGACCCTATTGGAATGAAGTTATTGCAAGGGGAAGGTCTTCATATTTTCGGATCTTCTGGGTCTCCCTGTGGCTGGCAGCTCCACTCCCTTCCACTACGGAGTATGGCAAGTAGGTGTCTGCCAATGTGGCAGCACAGGTGTAGTCCCAGGCAATCTGCTTTCCATCCTTCCAGGGTAGCATAGTGGCTCCATCAGGAAGCTTTTGACTTCCATCAGACCTCTGAACTTGGGGTTCCCGTTGAGCTGGGCAACGGGCTGTGGCGAAGCTTCTCTTTATGATGTCATTGACCTCCTCATGTCTGGCATACTTCCCTTCTGCTCTGCGACACACGAGACCATCAAGTCCGAATTGATCAGCTGTCGCCCTGCCGCAAATACACCTATGTTCGGTGAGGACGGGGGCGGCTAGGCGAAGAGCAACGCCAATCCGAATGGTCTGTGGGTCGAGACGGGTGCCCAGGGAGGAATTGGGAACAGCTAACAGGAAATCTCCTGAGTGTGGTGCCTTTACTGCCAGGAGACGAGCTTTGTCCTTTCCTGAAGCATTGGAGAGCATTGTGTTGGCGATTTTTTACATGATCGGTTTGTCCCAGTGGGACTGTTTGTGCTCTTTGGGAGGAGCTGGTCTACTGGAGGAATCTGTAAGGGTGTCCCACGGAATCGCTGCTTCAGTAAACCTGGGGTCTTGAGCTCCTACCACGTCTCTCAAGCGTTCGGGAACTATCTTCTTGACTAATGCATTGGAAGCCAAACACGAAGAGAGAAAAGCAGGTAAAGCAACATGCGTTGCTTTACGCACCCCTATATCTCCCAGTCGCACTGGGAGGGTTGCCTGATCCCATTGCTCATCCTCTAGTGACAGGTTCAGTGCCTTCTTAAAAGTTGATCTCAGGTGTGCGTCATATTCATCGAGTGTTGGGTTGTCAAAGAGGGTGCACACCTCAAGAAGTAAGTGAGTCTTGGCATAGTAAAACCTTTGTGGGGAAATCGGGCTATGGGCATAAAGATCGCTTTTTCTCTCCCCATTCCCATGGGCATTAAATTTTGTCCCGAGGACAGTGTCATGGTCGGTGACCCAGCGGTCCCCCCAAAGGGCGTTGGACGAGTGGTATTTGAGATTCCGGGGAGGATTCTTTGCACAGCTTTGGGAAATTATTTCCTGGTTCGCCGTGAGATTTCACCTTGGAGGATTGAGGATGAGCCCCAAAGTCTTCTCCCTGTGTTTTCACCATTTTTTGGGTCCCCCACCGGGACCTTCAGTACTGCCAAGTGCCGTCATCCAGGTGCCAGTTTTGAGCTCCCTGCTTTGGGGCTGAAGTTTTTTCTCTTCTGAAAGCAGAAGAGAAGTGGAGCGAGTGGGTCACCCCGCTGAACACCCTCTGAGATTGAATTTTATGTTCTCCCAAAAAAAAGAATGAGGGTTTTTTCTGTAACCGGGTGAAATGAAAGGAAAAAGACCGGGGAAAACCCATCCCGAACAGCTGGGAAAACGCATCTCTCTTCACCATAAATTTAAAAGGGTTTTTTAAAATCAAGTTTGACTATGGCCTGCTTTGGGAGGTCCCCGATTTTGGCCCTTTCGGGATGAGCTGAGGCTTCACTGCCTTTAAGACCCCAAACCCAGTTGGTTGGCTGGATAAATGGCGCTTCAAAGGGGAATGTTTCTCACTGGCTTTGGGAAAGGACGGAAGAGTGTTTCCAACTGCAATGGGGCTGATTCCCCCCCCCCTCTTTTTAAAGCACATAGTGAGGCTCCAAAAAAAAGAAAGGTTTAATTTTCTTCTGGGGTTTGCCCAGCCAGGGAATTTTTGACGAAAG